CGTTGATCGATTGACATTGCTTATTGCCGAACAAACCGCCGGTAATTCTAGTCATGTTAATGAAATTCATTCAATTATTGAAGAATTACGTGAAGATGGCTATATATATTAAGAGAATCCTAAATATTACTCAATAATAAAATGAGTGTTGATGTGTTTGGACGTATATTGAATAAAAAAAGGAGGGTAATCGAGGTCCACCTGGTGTAGCGTATATAATCACTAAAGACGGACAATACGATGCGAATGACAAAAGAATTTGTAATATAGCCGATCCTCAGGAGAGTAACGATGCTGTAAAACTTACGAACGTTGCGAAAAACTAGTGAAGCTAACGTTACTACAATTACGAGTATGATAAATGATCTTATAAAATCATTGGATACAATAAGATTAGAATTAGTAAAGCATCGAGTAGTTATTAATTAGTTAGAAGAAGATAATATTAATAATAATAAGGAGAAAGAAAGAAATAATGGACCGTTTGACTTTTTAAAATAATTAAAAAGATAGATTAAAATGAAACATTAAAGAGTGGTGGATGAGTTACATAAAGCAGCACGTCGAAACTATTCTCGTAGAAAAGTTGATGTACGCGGAATACATGAGACATGGCAAGCTGTTCTTGTAGAGATGCAAGGCTACTCGAGAGAGAACTAAAGCTTTCGATATCTATTAACTGTCATTGATATATTTTCAAAGTACGCTTGGGCAGTTCCTGTGAAACAAAAAACTGGTGTAGATGTTACTTATGCAATGAAGTCTATATTAGAAAAAGGACGCACTCCTAGAAATTTACATGTGGACTGTGGCAAAGAATTCTACAATTCAAATTTTCAAAGACTAATGACAAAGTATAAAATAAATCTATATTCAACCTATAGCAATCTTAAGGCAACTATTTGTGAACGTTTCAATCACACGCTAAAAAATGTCATGTGGAAAAAATTCAGTCTTCAATGAAATTAGAAATGGATCAACATTCTAGCTGATTTATTGAAATCTTACAATAATCGAAAACATCGTACGATAGATATCCTAAAGACGTAACTAAAGAGAATGAAATGCCGGTGTTGAGAAGATTCTCTTACGACCGACGTCTTTTCGTTAAGAGCCCTAAATTCCAAGTAGGCAATAAAATACGTGTGAGAAAGTTTAAACACGTTTTCGAAAAAGTATACACTCCTAACTGGTCTACTGAGATTTTTACTATTCAACGAGTTGCGAAGACAAAGCCTATCACTTATCATTTAAGAGATTATAAAGGCAATCTAATTGTTGGAGGTTTTTACGACCAAGAACTACAGTGAGCTATGTATCCTGATGTTTATCTCATTGAAAAAGTTTTGAGGAAACGTGGTAATCAAGAATACGATAAATGGTTGGGATTCGACAACTCGCACAATTCATGGATAGATAAGACTTTATACGTATAAAGAATAAAGACGTTTATGTAAAGTGACTTTTATTCAAATAAATATCATAATAATAATAAATAATTTTTGTTTTATTTTAATGGTAAGAGCCCCAACCTTCGCTCTCACCTGTGGGGTACTTCCATTTAAGTCTTTCCACAATATACTTACTTTACTTTCCACAATATACTGGTACTTTCCACAATATATTTTATAATAAATTTATTATACTTACTTTATAGAAATAAAGATACATTTTTGTTACATTAAATAATAAATTTAAATCTACCAGCGCTATGATATTCAATCTGTAAACAATAATTTTGTACATGATCTGAAAGTAATATATAAAGATCATAATGTTTCATGATGGCTCTTGAAATTCGATCTGGTAAAATAAGTTTGAATTCAGCATCGAGCTCGAGAATGATTCTATTGTTATCTTCTTCCTTAAAGTTTGTTACTAAATAACAATGATTTTCTTCGAGTTCATAATGATTTTTCTCCGGTAGTGGATCAAAGGGTTTCATAGCTATTTTATTTAACATTTCTAAGTCCATCTTGCTATCGAAGACTTGAGAATAGTGGAGAAGGAAGTGGATACTACTGGTGATGATTCTTCTAACAGAATGACGTTTTCCGAGCTCTTCTCTCTCTCTTAAGACCTTTACCCCACTACTATACTTTTTTCTAGTTGCCACGACCGCCTACCTCCACTTGCTACTTCTTCCACCTTCACTTGCTGCTTCTTCCACCTCCACTTAGATTTTTAGTTTGTTAAGGACGTTCTCTTACCCGCAGAGGAGCTTAACCTATAGTAGTATAGGCGACCGGCTTTTTTCTTTCGGCTCCGTATATAATATTTGAGCACTGCTTCGTGCGCAGAAGTATCGAAAGAATCTTTTGCGCCGATTTACTCGACTTGGCAACACCCTCCGCGCCTCGTGTTCTCATCGTATATTAGGTTTGTGTATCAACACAAAATCATGATCACGTGAGGTTAGGTGCCCTTACTTTTATTATAGTTTATTGAATTATTATTGAATAAAAATCCGTGAGTCAGCAAAAATGTCAAGTGACAACCGTAAGAAGAATGGTTGTTTTATCAAAAAGAGTTGCATTGGACGTAAGAAAAAAGCATTGGAGGCAATGTCAGCAGCAAAAAAACGTCGTATCAAAGAACAATTGTCATCAGGCAATGAAAATAATATATGTGAAGGTCTACGCATTGTAAATATTAAAGAACTAGGAAAAAATCTTAAATGTAAAGGATGCTTGCACCTCTTAGATTTGAGCAAAGTCTCCAAAGAACGAATGATTGGTTGTCATTCTTTACTAACTATTCGATGTGACCACTGCCATATTTTGACAGAAGTAAACACAGCTCATATGACTGATAACAAAGTTTCAGAAGTAAATGATGGACTGGTTCTGGGTACGTAGCGTCAAATTTATGTTTAATGTTATAAAAATGAATAAACAATCACATGAAAATTTTTAATTTGAATGTTTGAATAGTGAATAAGGAATTCGTCGTTATTACAGGTGCAATACATTCAGGTGATGGGCAGACTGCGTTAAACAAAATTTTGGCGTGTGCAAACATATCTCCTATATCTAATTATCTATATAAGCACTATGAAAAAATTATTGGTAAAGCCATCGAAGAAGAAGCCGAAGATAGTTACAAAAGGGCCGCACAGGAAGAAAGAGAATCAGTGATACAAAATATTCTTAAGTTGATTAAAGAGTTGTAAGAATTTTTTTTAACGTGACTGTAGATTGCATGTTAGAGAGCTGCATTTTGCATCAAATAGTGCAAAATTCAAGTAAAATATTGACGCTTTCATCGACCAAACTCCTGTACTATCTTTTCATGCATTATCAAATTATTGAAAATACGTGGATCAAATCAATTTTTGTAAATAGTTGTTTTTATCTCATTCTACATAATGTTGATTCTTTTTTGCTGAAAATTCCAGTCTTGTTATTTTTTTTTTAATGGACTTCTTTTTAACTTTGTGACGGTGTAGGCTGGTCATAGCCTACACCGTGTATGCCTGCGTCATCTCTCCCAGGCGAAGGCACACGGCTGGCATCAAACGCACGTTGAATTTCACGTGCCTGATGCCTCCTTCTTTATTCCAGCAACACCCGAGAGCAGAAGGCGAGGCCAGAGGCAACAACGCACGAGTATTGAGAGTGTGAGAGAGAGAGAGAGAGAAAGAGAGAAGTAGCATGCAGTTCGGTGGTTGGGCTTGGCGCGCGGCACTTGTCGCGACGGGCATTGCCGCGTGCCGCCGATTAGGCGAGTGGTGGGAGAAGGCGTGAGAAGCCGGCTCTCACTCACTCGCGACAGTGATGCGACGCACGCATTAGCGACCGGCCGCAATTAAAAAAAAAAGAGAAGTTAGTGACCGCAGTCGCATAGCCGTCTCTCCTCGTGCAGCTAAGCAGCCAGCAGCCAGGCAAGAGTTGGGCCGGTTTCGTGGTCGATATACAGCTGCAACTTCCTCGACGAACCACCAGCAACGCAGCCAGCGAGGATATCTGCGAAGTTATCTGCAGAACTGCCAGCAACAGCGATACCCATCAGCAACGGTCAGGTCATTGTTCTCTCTCTCTAGTTCTCTCTTTTCCTCGGCGATTGGTCTTCGTTCGTGTTGCTGCGCCAGGCTCCTCCTTGAGCCGGCGCACTCTTTAGTTTAATATAATTGTGATTTGAGCCGGTTAACGAGATGATATGGCGCTAACGTGCCGATCGTCTCGTTTAATAAAAGTGCGCGTGTTAGTAGTGATAAGCGACTTGTATTTGTACTCTCGTCGGCACTCAAGGAAGTGCATTTGTAATAAACGGATTTGTTAATGAAATTGAGTGTGTGTGTGTGAAGTTATTTGCCTGTTGTTCTCCTTCTTGCTTTGTCTGGAGCGACACACCGCCTCCCTTACCTTCCCCCTTATAAATAATTGGTAATAGTGGTGGGTTTATCGGCATTGCACGCCGACGCTATTACAACTTTTGATTTTTTATATTTTATGAAATATTTAGTACATTTTTTTACACTTTCAGCTATGAAAAACAATTTGCAGTGCAATATTTTGATATAAATGCAAATTTCTATAAATAATAATTTTTCTATAAATCTATAAATTAAATTTCTATAATTTTTTATTTACAACGTCAACATAATTCTAACTTTATTATTTCATAATACGTCATGTATCACTGTCAAACAAGAAATTAAAAAGAATTGAAAAAAATCACGAATAAAATCTGCTATTGTCGCATTACTTGTGCCATAATGTAAATTTCATTTTTTCAGACCAGAAAATATAGCTTGAGATATATATCCTCATATTGAAACCCTTGAATCAAATAATGAAACTAACGAAACAAGAAACTCAAGTTTCGACGCAGCTTTAGGTCAGATCATTAATATTATTGTCTCATACGACACAGGGTGGACCAAACGTAGCAACGGACGTAGCTATGATAGCCTCAACGGGTACAGTGCAATAATTGGCTTTTTGACTGGAAAAATCTTAGACTATAAGACTAGAAATAGGAAATGTCGAATATGTGAAATGGGGCACGATAAAAATGATCACGATTGTCGGCTCAATTATTTAGGGAGCGCAAAAGGAATGGAAACAGATGCTGGCGTACAACTAATTAACCACAGCAATATTTTAAAAGAAGCTAAACTACAAGTACGTGTAATAATTGGCGATGAAGATAGCTCGATGATAGCTGCCGTTAGAAAAGATAATCCATACATATATTTTTATAAATTAGTTGATAGAAATCATATGGTGAAAAATTTTGGCAAAGTGTTATATGAAATGCAAGAGAATTATAAACAAATGAAAAAAAAAGGTGTAGTTCCTCATATTAAAAAATGCTTTGCATATGCGGTTTCGCAAAATAAAGGAAACAGTGATAGACTAGCTAGAGAGCTCCGCAGAATGCCGGAGCATTTGTATGGACGTCATGAGAATTGTGGTTTTTGGTGCAAATACAAAGAAAAGCACACGATACTACTTACAGATGAAAATTTATATACAATGTTAGTAGACTTTTTTAATAAGTATGCGGCAAATGCTGGGAAGTTCTCTGTGGCAGCCTCTAGTCAAGCAAATGAAAGCTTTAATAATGTTATTGCTCACAAGGCACACAAAAATCAATGTCTCAGAAGGAGTGAAGCTTGCGACTTCAGAGTTGGCAATGGTGTATGCGCCTGGAATTATGGCGAAAAATGTATGGCTAAATTTCGAATGAGAGTCAACTTGAGTGAAGGATTATATACATTGAAGTATGCTACAACAGCAGACGGTAAACGCTTCACAAGAAAACAAACAAACACATCTTCTAAAGCTAAGTTAAGGCGGGTTATATTAAAACAACAAAGAGAATCGTTAAGAAAAAGTTTAGAGAAAAGCGAAGGTATAACATATCAAGCTAATTGCGGGATGGAAATAGAAATTAATTTGCCAGAGAAAAGCAACGCTGATGCTAAGCCGCTAATTGTATATTTTGATTTAGAGACTACTGGTTTGGATATAAATGCCGAAATAGTACAAATTGCTGCAAAATGTGGAAAGTATGAATTTGATTTTTACATTAATCCAACAAAAGAAATTTCAAAGAGTGCTACCAAATTTACAGGATTGTCTAACGACGGTGGTATGTTGTGTCTAAATGGGAAGGCCGTTGAAAGTTCTAATTTGAAAGATGGTCTATTGGCGTTCAAACAATTTTTGGAATCACTTTCAAAGTTCAAAAAGTGTTTGTTAGTTGCTCATAATGCTTCGTTTGATACTCGGATATTATTAAGAAATTTGATTAGTTGTAATATACTGCGGGACTTCGATATAATTCAAGGCTTTTCAGACTCTCTTAAAGCTTTTAAAAAACTGATTTCACAGAAAAAAGGCCCCGGACAGTTCACATTACATGGTTTAGCCACTGAATATTTAGCAAGTGAAGATTTGCAAAATTTTCATGATGCTGTCGGTGATGTCCGAATGTTGGAAAAATTAGCAAGATATTTCAATTGTAAAAAATTACTTGTAGGTTTGAAACAATCTTACTATGATTGCTGCAATCGAATCATTGAAAATAATAAGATCAACTCAAGATTACAATATTTGAGAGAGTTGAAAGGTGTTATATCTATAACATATTTAAAAAAGTTAGCTAAACATAACATTACTTATAAACAATTAGTTGAATTATATAAAAATGAAGGGTCCGATGACATCTATAAAATGTTTTGTGAAAAAGTAGGAGGAAAAGTGAAGATCACCAAAGATATTAAGATTTCCATTGCAGTAGTCAATTTTTTCGAGACTAATTAATAAATAAATGATAAAAAATATTATTTCATGATTAATAAATCATACTATTAATATGGGAAGCTTTAAGCAATCATATGAATATTTATGCGTTAAAATTAGTGATTACTTGTTATCAATCTCATCAGATATTTAATAAAATGTTCTATATGAAATATGTATGTATGTGCAACGTGCTAATTCTTTAGTTCGAACTATCGGTAACATTGTAATGCGCCGCGTGCCGTACCGGCGCAACTGATGCGGTATTGCCAAGTCGTCATGTTTTTCTCGCGAGGCCGATCGGAAGACTCACTAGTTGCAAACTTTGAAACCATTTTGCTCAGAACATAGCAGCGGTACCCCCTTTTTTATTATTGCAATTTATTCCTTATGATCTCTAGAATGACATACTAGTTTTTTAAAAAAATTCAAAGAAAATTGACCATGTGTTCATTATACATAGAGAAACAATGAGGAAAAAGAATAGATTTTTTCGATGATTCCTGCCATCTCTGCATTTCAACTTTTGGTTCATTTCCATATTTTGAAGAGAGAATCGATACTGGCTTTGAGTCCATAACTGTAATATAATTCAATTTTGAATTCACTTCATGCATTGAAATAGTGTATCCTCTTTTAGCTTTTTTTGGCATTTCGACTTTCACTTTCACACGATTATGCCGAACAGTTCCTGTCGCCGATAAACCATTTTTTTTCAAATGAATCATAAGATCTGGGTTTGTGAAAAAGTTGTCAAAATAAATATGATACTTTTTCAGTTCTTCTCTCTGTGTTTTTTCTAATAAATTCGAAAGTAACTTTATCACCACTCTAGACCCTAAACCAACGGCAACTAAAGGATTTCGTTCATCGATTCCTGATTTACCAGTGTAAATATCAAGATCATATATATACCCATCAGAAGAACAGACTGCCCATTCTTTTATTCCAAATCTAATGGGTTTATTCCTTATACATTGCTTGATACCAAACCTACCAAAGTATTTTACCATTATCTCATCTATTGATAAATTATAGTCAAAGAAACCAAATTGCATACAATTCTCACGAAACATATCATACAGAGTTCTAACCTTCCAGACTTTATCATTTTGATCAGTTTCTTGAAGTTTATAGAATCGTATGTTCTTTTTTATGGCAACGAAATTATTTCTAGACATAAGTTCCGCAATTACTGGACACTGAAGTATTCGCTTTTTTGACCAGTAATCACGAATACTTTTTCTAGAATTGAAGATAGTAATCATTATGATTGTAATAAATTTTTCTAGATCATCCATACATAAATCAAAATGATTTTCAGAAGTGGCTTCAATGATATGGTTTTTCATTGATTTCGAAAAGAAAACCTCAAACAACTCAAAAGCATTTTTGGATTGCAATGATGAAATAGGTGAAATATTGAAGTTGCTCTCGACATGCGGAGAAATATCATTCAAAGCATCATTTTTCCAACTGTACTTATGATTCGGTTCCAACAATTTCTGAGTACTTGTGTATGTACTTTTAACATGTTCGTAAGAACCTGATGGTAATTCATTTGATAATGTATCTTCATTTGGATCACCGTCCGAATCTCCATCTGAACTTTCTTATTCATTAGGAATGAATGCTATATCAATATGTTGACCTTCATCACTATCAGAATCTTCAACTAAATTTGGTAGATCGCTAATTCTCCGTCTCGGCATTATCAGTAACGTTACCAATTTAGAACAAAATAAAAACTAAAAGTTTTCCGAAATTATTATTTCAAAGAATAGATCCAATGTATAAATGTTTTCAACCGTTAGCCCGCCACTCAAACGTGATCTCTAACACGGAAGGATTTACGAAATGAAATAAACTTATCCAATTACAGTATAAGATCTCAAAATTTATCAGTAAAAAATACTGATATGATTCCAGATACCATGTGTGAGAATGAAAACACTTATTTGTCAATAGTTTATTTCTACATAAAGATATCAAATTGAACTCTGACAAAAAAGTGTTATATAGGTTTTCATCTCAATTTTATCCCCAGAATCGATTCCCGCATTTAGATTTTGATAATTATGAATTTTTTTGTAATTTGTTTAAATAATTTGTTATAAACACTTGAAAATAACATAAAAAAAAATACGTATATTTTATTTTTCACTTATGCAAAAGATAGCACAGTTTGTTTGTCGCTATCTCAACCAGTCTTAGCGTGGGCTTTAATGGGTTAAGTGTATATACTATACAATGATTTTTTAGTATAGGTTCAAAAATATGATTCATCATTATTATACGTTTTTTAAATAGTACTTGCGATATTAAACTACTTAGTTTCATAATACGACGTTGGGAGCGTTCTAGATCTCGAGAACTCCTTTCCTCGAGTCTTTGTCTTCAATAGGAAGATGATGAATTTGAATATTATCCGAGAACCATACATACTTCGAAGCATGAATGCTCTTCTTGTTTCTTCTAATAGGCGCCATGATGAATCACAACAGGATAGTCTTGCTATAGCTATTTCTTCTCACTGGTAAAGCAAACTATGTATCCTTCTTAAGGTTAATTATAGGAATAGTGAGAGCCCCAACCTTCGCTCTCACCTGTGAGGTATTTCGTTTGGAATCATCGCTCATGAGTCACCTTTACATTGAGATAAAATTCATTGGAAAGGGCTACATTATGAACTTTTTTTTTTACCTCTCCACAAAAGGAAATAAGAGGATAGTTAAATAAAGGAAAAAAAGACTATTCAATTAGATATATGTGTTTTATTATTCATAGTGCAGCTATTTTCATTAGTATTAGAATACATTTAATTCTTATTCGTTGAAGATAAAATTATGTTTAAATTCGAAGATTGAACCGACAATATGATAAATAAATAACTCCTCCTTCTCACTAGTCTGATGTAGGTTTTTCATTATTTCTTTATCTTTTTCGATTACTATATTAACCCTTTTGGGCAGGAACACATCAAATTCGTCATCTATTGTAATAACAACGCTAAATCCATATTTCATTGTTAATGATCTAACTTTAGTAACTTGATATAATGTACTCGTATTCGATGTAAGTTGGGGCATCGCCTTCCGAAGAAGGAAAGTCTTCTTGGAAATTTCATTTATTGCTGAGAAATCCATTCTGTAAAATAAAAAATCAAAGAATAAATTATTTATTTATTTATTACTAAGCTATTGATAAACTAAAACTATTTAAATATCTTACTTGTTTCAATAATTAGTGGAAGATGTATTAGAGGTTGAGATAAGACTGTTGCTTGAATGAGAGCTGAGCTACTGTTTCGAACAAGAGTGAGCTCTTAGTTTTATACGTGACATCCCCACTCCTAAAGCTCAAGCCGCCGTCTCCGCTTCCCTCTCTTTCAGTCTCCCCTCTCTCATGATTCTTCATCTAAAACCATTCTTCCACTCTATAGACTCAGGTATCCATTGTTTCTCCCTCTCCATTACTAGTCATTCTGATTCTGATAGAATTCTTTCGCTAGTGCTGCTCTCTAGAATTAGTTTCTTCAATTCTGGATCTTTTCATATTACTATTTTGTTCTATCACTTCGTCTTCTTCTCTATACCTCTTTCTTCGTATCTGTTCAACTCTTTCTTTCATTTCAGCAATTTCGAAAGTTTTATAATGCCCCCATGAAAGTGTGTCCAGATTATTACCAAAAATACAACGTTTATCATCATGGGGGCTTAGTGCTGTCTTTTCCTCTTCCTCTGTTATTACTTGATGTAATTGAGATGGAATATTACGTTAAGTACGTTTAATAATTTCCATTTCGTATAAACACTTTCGATAATCTGAGTAAGTTATTGTATTTTTTACTGTATGTTTTTTCACTCCTTTTTCCTTTTTCAAGTGATCCTTATTTATTATTTCGATACTGTATAGTTTACTTCGTAACCCAATGTACTACCTCATAATAGCAACATTGCACTCATCCTTCATAACACCAAGAACTTTTTTGTTAGCTAGAGGCATTCCAAATTGATTATCAGTAGGATAGTCCGATGTGTCAAATTTATCAATGTCTTCTTTCATGATTTCTACATATCGACATCTTGAATTTCATAAATGAGGCTGTCAGTATCAGTATAACGTAATTTACATTTTTCACCAATTCGTTGCTTCATGTAACCATAATGAAAGTCATAGACTAATGTTCTTGAAAGATCTAATACACATAGACCGATGTATATAGGTTTTTTAATACTGATAGTTGTCCAGGATAATTGAATAGCAGCTAAATTTTCATGAAAGATGGAACTACTATGGAAATTTGGTTGAGCTATTCGAGCTTCAGCGCCATATCTACCTCCCCATTGATTGATCAGTTTGACATCTTTTCGTTTTCTTTCGTCTTCCATCGTTTTAGCATATACTGCATTAATCATAAGCCTGTAAAATAATTATTCAAACACATTTTTAGCTTGCTTTATTTTTTCAGTATTTAAATTAACATATGGTTTCAGCCATTGTTTTTGTTTCAATTCTAGCGCTCTATATATCTTTTTGAGTTTTACTCTATATTTGAGAGCTTGTTTTAACGCTCTATAATGAAGAACGTATCGTTCTTTACCATAAAGCGTTATCAAAAGTTTTTTCTGTTTTGATCCTGGTGGTTTAGTATGTTCAGGACAAAGAGGTAGGTCTTTATGATCATCATGCAGCTCTTGTGGATACTCTAGATCTACTTCTAAAATATATCCTACGTCGCTATCATCAGAGACATTAAAAAAATTTGACATATCCACATTTGAAACCCATTTAAATCTCTCAAATGGTAGTGATTGAGTCATAGCCCAACCATAAAGGTTGTTTACGTCATAATAGATTAAAATTTTGTTTGGCTCATCCTTATTGAATTCTTCACCCATATATTTATTGTTTGTTTTTGAAAATCTATTGCAGCATTGACTAATACCTCCACGAATACCTTTTGAATGACTAAAACCATATCTGTATCTGTTAATAGTTCAAGCTTCGTATTTGTATAT